TTGCCTGGTGGTCACTGTGCGTGTATTCATCCGATACGTGCCATTCCGTTGAGGGTAGTAGGGCAGAACTGATGAAAGCTATGTCGATCTTTGACCTTCTCCCCCCTCTGGAGAAAGTGTCCTTTTCACCGTAGTTGAGCAGTGCTACATCCAGGGTTGCAAACGCTTCAAGAAGGTATTCTCCCCTGAGGTTCGTGCGATTTGAGCCCCACTCGACTGCCCATGCATTGAAGTCGCCTGCGATAACTATGGGCTTTACTTCTTCCGCGTCTTTGACGAGCTTATCAAGTGCATGTCTGTACGTCTCTAGCGGCATGCTGGGGGGGTAGTAACAGCTGTAGTATGTTATTCCGTTCACTGTGCTTTTTACGTATCCTTCCTCGCCGCTGTGCGTCTTCTCAAGTGGATACTTGCCGCATGTCCATATTGATGCTTTATTGCATCCGCTAGTGGTCCATCGTTGTGAGTCATCCGCTCTGTAGTGTTCGCTGAGGATTGCTAGGTCGATTTTTTGCTCGCGCACTATCTGTTTTAGAAGCTCCTGGGCAGCCTCGCAGTGGTTTAAGTTCAATTGAAGGACCCTCATTTGTGTTTATTCAGGACCTTCCTGCGGCTGATATATAGTGGGGGCATTTAGGCCCTCCTGTGACATGCCTGGCGTCGGCATTTGGGTCGTTTCTGCATAGTAAGCAGTGTGGGTCTCCTTGGCACGCTTTGGCTAGGTGGTCAAGTCCCCCGCACTTGAAGCAGTGCTTCGACCAGTCTTTGAGACTTCTACAGTTTCTTGCCATATGCCCGAAGTCAAGGCATTTGTAGCATCTTGTCGGTGTAGTCCTTTTGAGTAGTCTGCAGACTGTCCATCCAACTCGCAGTTTGCCTAACTCTTCTGCCTCTTTTGCCTGTTTCTCCGCTATGACGATTATGGTCGTCCTAGTGCCACCAGGAGCATCCCTGATTACTTTGATGGCCTCGCCATGTATGTCACCTATCTGGTTCCACCATGCGGTGAGTATTTCGTCCTCCGTAGTCACTTCATCGAGGTACCTTAGCTCGAACGTGGCTTCTTGTGTAAGTATTCTGACCTCGACCTCAGTGGGCAGTATGCTTTTGATGTGCTCCTGTTGTTGTCCGGTGGTCACATCGGTTGCTCTCTTAAATTCGAGCAGCAGCTCTCCTTTTTGCGTCTTCCGTACGGCATGGACCTCTTCTCCTACTGTTTTCAATTCAGGGGCGCTTTTTACCTTCCTGATAATATCTGCGAATGACAGTTTCTCCGTCGGCTTGATAATCATGACATCAGGCCTAGGCGGTCTCCTTCGCTTTTTGGATACTTGTATCCACTTGTTGGTTGCCTGGCTGTTTCCTCCTTGTGTTGGTGCCTTTTCCATCTCTTGACTCGGTCCGCTTGCTTTGTCGGTTTTTGGCTTCGGTGTTCTTTTCGGCATGCTTGCATCTGTGTTATCCTGGTTCTCCTGTCTGTTAGTTTTCGTCTTTTTTGGAGGTGTTCTTCTAGGTCTCTCTACCTCTTCTCTTAGCCTTTTTGGTGTGCCGCGTACCTCTTGCTGTCGGGCAGTTTGTGTGCCCCTATCATTTGTACGCACGGATTTCTCTGCTTGCGGCTCCTTGGCCCTAGCTATTTGTTGGTATAGTGATGTTATCACCGCCACCAGGTCACGCATTGGTTGGTGGATAGACCTTCTCCCACCACCAAACATTTCGTTGAGCTCGCCGATTTTTTCCCCCAACTTCGTGAGAGGGTCTCTCCCTTGTTTCGGAACCTGGACTAGCATTGGTTCGCTCTCTAGTTCAGGAGGAGATGACCGAGATCTTTCCATACTCCGCACCTGCAGGGTTTGTACTGGGGAGCGTGGTAGCCTCGATGCTTTTTGGAACGGGTTTTGCCCCGGGCTTCCCGTTAGTGCCTCTTTTGCGCTCTTTGCGCCGGCCTGAGGGCTAGAGCCTATCTGTACTTCCGCCAGTGTTGTTGTTGTTGTTTTTTTCCATTTTTGTGCTGTTGGGTCCCAACTCGTAGCCGTTATCTTGTATTCGTTGTGTAGTTACCCTTATTTGGTCCCATGGTTATCTTTGCAATGCAGGGAGGCCATGCGAGGGTTGACACAAGACCTTATGAGTGCATGTGTTCAGAGCCAGACCGGGAGCTAGACAGAAGGATAACCTTAACTGACCCTACACCCCAACTTAACGGGACGATTACAAGAGCGTTCTACGAGGCTTGCCAGGTTTTAACGGGACGGGGGTAGGTGACGCATTAGCCTGAAAGCCGTCTGGACCAGATTCCACTCCAGCCCATATTGGTAACAGAATACCTCACCCACCAGCCTAATATCGTCTGTTCAAGGTGTTGCATGTTTGCCCAGTATACCATAATCAGGATCTTACTGGGGTCGATCCTGATGGGTCCTCGGACCCGCTTTTCCGCTTCTCCATTTGGTGTGCTCGTGGGTATTTCGGCTTGGTATGCCGGTTCTTCTTTAGGGTCTGCAGTCTTGCCACTGCTACTCGGGATGTCCCACGTTTAAACGCACTTTCCATCCTTGCTGCTCTTGGTCGGGGACTGCTTATTGGTTATTCGCAGCTGGCCTGTTTGCACAGGCCGTTCACTATCCGCCACCTGTGACCCCCACAGTAGCCTGAGCTCAGCCCTGTGTGTGTGTGTGTGTGTGTGTGTATACTTAGTTGTCCCCAACTGTTTGATATTTTGTATTGTTTTTTCTGCATGCTTTTGTAAAATGCATATTTTGAAAATCCATGAATGCAAAGTTGTAGATTTAGTTACGTAGATTACATTATCCAAATTTTAAATCGATCGGACTAAATTTATAACAAAAAATTTCATTTGAAATAGTGAATAAATATTAAAACCCCAATAAAATCCCTTCTTAGTGCGCATCTACACCATGATAGGATACTTGAGCCCAAATTTCAGCATCCTAGCTTTTACCGTGTGGGCTGTGGGCTGTTGACGCGGTTTCCATTTGTGCCCCAATAAAACGGCAATAATTTAAGCTCCAACACAATGCGGATTTTTCAAACAAACTTTGGAGCTACATTTCCCCCCTTTGGAGCTCGAATTTTCCAAAATCCCTTCTTAGTGCGCATCTACACCATGATAGGATACTTGAGCCCAAATTTCAGCATCCTAGCTTTTACCGTTTGGGCTGTGAGCTGTTGACGCGGTTTCCTTTTGTGCCCCAATATTTTTTTTACAGGACAACTCCCATATTTTGGGCCCCAAAAAAAATATCAAACAAGTAAAAAAGCTAAAGTCGGGTGTCCCGACTTTGAAATACTCTGAACATATGTTTACAAAACCAATTAACAAAAAATATTTTGATCGATTTTACCTCTTTTCGTATTCGAACTCACGTAAAGGGTGTATAATTGCACATTTGCATAGCAATTGCGTCTGTGTGAGTGTATGTATGCCTATGCGCATCTATTCGTGTCTGTGTAAGCATTTTCGCAGTCAACCAAACAGCAACATCAACAACAGCCGCGGGCAGCGCTTGAGCTGCGCTGCATCAGCAAATATATTTATGGCTATAACTTCTTGTTAAATCGGTCTATCATAATGAAATTTGGCATACGGACACATAATAACCAACTGGGGGTATTTCCAGAATTTTATTTCGAAATTCCAAGAATTACGGGAGTTACGATTTGTGGGGTAGAGGGGGGAGGGAGGGGAATTCCAAAATAAACAATTTCTTCGTATTCACACAAGGCATCTTGGACTAAAATTTGGTGTTCCTAGGTCTTATAGTCTCCGAGATATAGGCGATTATACGAATGGAAAATGGGGGAAATCAAAAAAATAAAACAAACTCGTATAGAATACACACATAACGCATCTTTGTGCAAAATTTGGTGTCTCTATCTCTTATAGTCTCTGAGATCCAGGTGTTCATACGGACGGACAGACGGACAGACAGACAGACAGGGCTAGATCGACTCGTCTCGTCATGCTGATCAAGAATATATATACTTTGTGGGGTCTGCCACGCCTCCTTCTGCCTGTTACATTTTTCAGCTCCCGCAAACCTAATATACTCTTGTACATTTCATGTACAGAGTATAAAAACCAAGTATACAGTTTTTCTTGGAATTGTTCTGAGAGTATACAAACTTGTTTGAAGTTGAAAGTTTGAAGTTAATCAGATGAAAACTGTAGATTTTTCATACAAACATTGGAGCCTGTTTTCCCCCCTTTGGAGCTCGAGTTTTCCAAAATCCCTTCTTAGTGGGCAGCTAGACTATGAAAGGATACTTGAGTCCAAATTTCAGCTTCCTAGACTTTACCTTGGGCTGTGCGTTGATCACCAATCAGTCAGTCAGTCAGTCAGGACAAACTGTTTTATATATATAGATGCAGCGCTGCTCAAGCGCTGCCCGCAAATGTGTATTTTGGAATTTCCCTCCCGCCCCCCTCTCCAATGCAAATCGCGATTTTCTCTCACTCTCGTAATTCTTGGAATTTCGAACTCAAATTTTGCAAATACCCCCAGTTTGTTAATATGTGTCCCTATGTCAAGTTTCACTATGATAGACCGATTTAACAAGAAGTTATAGCCATAAATATATTTGCTGCTGCAGCGCAGCTCAAGCGCTGCCCGCGGCTGTTGTTGATGTTGCTGTTTGGTTGACTGCACACATGTTTACACAGACACGAATAGATGCGCATAGGCATACATACACTCACACAGACGCAATTGCTATGCAAATGTGCAATTATACACCCTTTGCGTGAGTTCGAATACGAAAAGAGGTAAAATCGATCAAAACTTTTTTGTTAATTGGTTTTGTAAACACAGTACAGAGTATTTCAAAGTCGGGACACCCGACTTTAGCTTTTTTACTTGTTTTATTTTCACTCAAGGGTACATTGGGGTACAAGGACACACTTGGGAATTCTGTTATAGTTTCTTCGATGACTTTGCTTTTACAAATCAACAATAGACAAATCATTCAGCTACTAATCATAAACCCATCGCCAAAGGGAACAACCCGTTTAATAAGTCTTGTACTAGAAAACTTAAGGTAAAAACAGGGGCTTGCTGCTGAAGAAGTAATTCAAAACGTGGTTGACAGTTTTCCAATTCAAGTTCTCGAAGACCGTTTTTTTGCGTTCGCTTTGGCGATCTCATTCCTTCTGGGGCAGCATTTGTTAAGCATATTTAAATTTTTTTCCAATAGTGATATCTGAAAAAAACAGTTCGGGTATTAGGGGCAAAAATTGAAAGTGGACTGTTTTACTATACATTTAACTAAGCCGGCAGGATCCCGCACATCGGCCTATACATACATATCCTAATTGGATATTCCTGTAGTTAGGATTGTTGTATGTGTATACTTTTCCTATAACTAGGGGGACATCACGGTTCCGCAATTGCATTTTTTAAGCAAATTTTTTATCTTTATTCCAGAATTTCATGTGTATATTCATTTATAGGAAGTGTTTCGAAGTGTGACTTATCGAGAAATGAATTGTGATTCGATTGGAATGTTCATCATATACCCCCAAATAGGTGGGGATTTCCCCAAAGCACTGTACAGCAATCTGCGATCACTTTAAAATTTTAAAAACATCGTGAATATATCAAAAGCCAAACTAACCCTTTTAAAAACGATAGCAAATTTGGGGTAAGAACAGCATGACGAACACTATGTATAAATGTATAAATAGAATAAATAGAATCGGCCAAAATTTCCAAGTTTTTGTTCCATTTTGAGGTCGTATTTTTGGTATATTTACAAATATTGTAATCTAATCAAGAAGTCACTTTTTCCAAATGTGTCACTGACATCATGATTTACTCACATATCATTTAATATATGTATATGGGTGGTATGAGCGTATAACCACGCCCACTTTTTAAAAATAGTTTATTGTTTGAAGCCTAATGTTTAAAATATAGACCTTGCTATAACTAACACTATAGGACCTAGGGATATTAAATTTAAAGTCCAAGATGCCTTTTGTGAATACGCAGAAAATGTGTTTTTTAGAATTTCCCTACCTCCCCCTCTCCAATGCAAATCGCGATTACCTCTAACTCCCGTAATTCTTGGAATTTCTAACTAAAATTTTGCAAATACCTCCAGTTAGTTATTATGTGTCCGTATGCCAAGTTTCATCATAATAGGTCTTTAACAAGAAGTTATAGCCATAAATATATTTGACTAGCAGGTATTGCTTGTCTTAACCCGGCTCAATATAATGTTCTTGACAAAAAATTATTCAGTAGTCCGTTACATTTTTGTTCTTGCCAAACTATTTGGTTAAACGAACATGACCACTATAACTAATATTTTTTAAAGCTCGTTTTCCCCCCTTTGGAGCTAGAATTTTCCAAAAGCCTTTCTTAGTGTGCTCCTACACTATGATGGATACTTGAGTCCAAATTTCATCTTTTACCGTTTGGGCTGTGCGTTGATCACCAATTAGTCAGCACAAACTGTTTTATATATAACGCAACGTTTTAAGATAGACTATGTGCAAAAAAGGGGAATAATTCTAAATTCACATTTGAGTCTTTTCGTGCCATATTGAGTCAATACGGTCACGCACAAACTCGGAATATGAAACACGGCACCCGTGTCAAAAAGCACTGACAATTCTCATCTCAATTTGCTAGAGTAAAACTTTCGATAGTTGAAGCCACCGATACCATCAAAATATCGAAGTTTGAATGCAATAAGCAGAATATTTAAATAACAAAATCTAATTATTTATTGACATCAATAAGAACAAATCATATAAATACATACATCTGCCCGCAATGCGAAGCAGAATATGCGTAGCTCCGTTATTCGGTTTTTGCTTTACTATCGCTTACGCAGTCGTTGCCTAGCGACGGTAACTGTAAACTTTTGGCGTTTTGCCTTTGCAATTAACATTAAATGGTTACAACGAAAGAAGAAGAGCGAACCAATGACTTGCAGTTGTTGTTGTTTTTAGAGCATTATTTTTTTTACAATCAAACAACTGTGTTCGATTGCCCAATGTATACATTAATGCGAATGTACATACATGCTATATTCATACAAAGGCATACATACATACATATGTATGTTTCTCTTTACTTTTTCAACCGTACGTAGAGAACCGCACACATAGACACGAACTGTTGCTTGTTGTGTGTGTGAGTGTGTGTATGTGATGTCCCCAACTATTTGATATTTGTTGTTGCTGCATAAAGTTATTAATGCCAAATGCACTAAACAAAGAAAAAATTACTTTTAAAAATGTTATATAATTTTCAATTAATTAACATTTCTTGCTGTGTCAGTGCAAGACGAATGTACATACATACATATGTAGATACATATGTACACACGTAGATGTGCACATATGTATGGACATTCACACATTAGTGTCTCACATTTTGCTTTGGCTATTTCAATGTTTGTATGTGTGTATGTATACTTAGTTGTCCCCAACTGTTTGATATTTTGTATTGTTTGTTCTGCATGCTTTTGTAAAATGCATATTTTGAAAATCCATGAATGCAAAGTTGTAGATTTAGTTACGTAGATTACATTACCCAAATTTTAAATCGATCGGACTAAATTTATAACACAAACTTTTCATTTGAAATAGTGAATAAATATTAAAACCCCAATAATTCAAGCTCCAACACAAATCTAAGTATGCAGTTTTGTTTGTATTCTTTAATTGATTTTAGAAACTAAGTTTTAAGTCGATCGGTTGAAAAATGCGGATTTTTCCACCAAACTTTGGAGCTACATTTCCCCCCTTTGGAGCTCGAATTTTCAAAAATCCCTTCTTAGTGCGCATCTACACCATGATAGGATACTTGAGCCCAAATTTCAGCATCCTAGCTTTTACCGTTTGGGCTGTGAGCTGTTGACGCGGTTTCCTTTTGTGCCCCAATATTTTTTTTACAGGACAACTCCCATATTTTGGGCCCCAAAAAAATATCAAACAAGTAAAAAGCTAAAGTCGGGTGTCCCGACTTTGAAATACTCTGAACATATGTTTACAATAATTATAGAAAATAAAAAAATTAAGAAAATAAAAAAAAAAATTTGATCGATTTTACCTCTCTCGGTATTTGAACTCACGTAAAGGGTGCATAATTGAACATTTACATAGCAATTGCGTCTGTGTGAGTGTATGTATGCCTATGCGCATCTATTCGTGTCTGTGTAAGTATTTTCGCAGTCAACCAAACAGCAACATCAACAACAGTCGCTGCATCAGCAAATATATTTATGGCCGACCGATTTAACAATATAACTTCTTGTTAAATCGGTCTATCATAATGAAATTTGGCATACGGACACATATTAACCAACTGGGGGTATTTCCAAAATTTAGTTCGAAATTCCAAGAATTACGGGAGTTACGATTTGTGGGGTAGAGGGGGGAGGGAGGGGAATTCCAAAATAAACAATTTCTTCGTATTCACACAAGGCATCTTGGATTAAAATTTGAATTTGGTGTTCCTAGGTCTTATAGTCTCCGAGATATAGGCGATTATACGAATGGAAAATCGGGAAAACCCCCATAGGGGGGAAGTGGGGGGGAAAATCAAAAAAATAAAACAAACTCGTATAGAATACACACATAACGCATCTTTGTGCAAAATTTGGTGTCTCTATCTCTTATAGTCTCTGAGATCCAGGTGTTCATACGGACGGACAGACGGACAGACAGACAGACAGACAGGGCTAGATCGACTCGTCTCGTCATGCTGATCAAGAATATATATACTTTGTGGGGTCTGCCACGCCTCCTTCTGCCTGTTACATTTTTCAGCTCCCGCAAACCTAATATACTCTTGTACATTTCATGTACAGAGTATAAAAACCAAGTATACAGTTTTTCTTGGAATTGTTCTGAGAGTATACAAACTTGTTTGAAGTTGAAAGTTTGAAGTTAATCAGATGAAAACTGTAGATTTTTCATACAAACATTGGAGCCTGTTTTCCCCCCTTTGGAGCTCGAGTTTTCCAAAATCCCTTCTTAGTGGGCAGCTAGACTATGAAAGGATACTTGAGTCCAAATTTCAGCTTCCTAGACTTTACCTTGGGCTGTGCGTTGATCAATCAGTCAGTCAGTCAGTCAGGACAAACTGTTTTATATATATAGATGCAGCGCTGCTCAAGCGCTGCCCGCAAATGTGTATTTTGGAATTTCCCTCCCGCCCCCCTCTCCAATGCAAATCGCGATTTTTTCTCACTCTCGTAATTCTTGGAATTTCGAACTCAAATTTTGCAAATACCCCCAGTTTGTTAATATGTGTCCCTATGTCAAGTTTCACTATGATAGACCGATTTAACAAGAAGTTATAGCCATAAATATATTTGCTGCTGCAGCGCAGCTCAAGCGCTGCCCGCGGCTGTTGTTGATGTTGCTGTTTGGTTGACTGCACACATGTTTACACAGACACGAATAGATGCGCATAGGCATACATACACTCACACAGACGCAATTGCTATGCAAATGTGCAATTATACACCCTTTGCGTGAGTTCGAATACGAAAAGAGGTAAAATCGATCAAAACTTTTTTTGTTAATTGGTTTTGTAAACACAGTACAGAGTATTTCAAAGTCGGGACACCCGACTTTAGCTTTTTTACTTGTTTTATTTTCACTCAAGGGTACATTGGGGTACAAGGACACACTTGGGAATTCTGTTATAGTTTCTTCGATGACTTTGCTTTTACAAATCAACAATAGACAAATCATTCAGCTACTAATCATAAACCCATCGCCAAAGGGAACAACCCGTTTAATAAGTCTTGTACTAGAAAACTTAAGGTAAAAACAGGGGCTTGCTGCTGAAGAAGTAATTCAAAACGTGGTGGACAGTTTTCCAATTCAAGTTCTCGAAGACCGTTTTTTTGCGTTCGCTTTGGCGATCTCATTCCTTCTGGGGCAGCATTTGTTAAGCATATTTAAATTTTAAAAACAATAAATCGGTTCAATATGCCGGATCAATTCCAATAGTGATATCTGAAAAAAACAGTTCGGGTATTAGGGGCAAAAGTTGAAAGTGGACTGTTTTACTATACTTTTAACTAAGCCGGCAGGATCCCGCACATCGGCCGCAATCTGAGCAGAAGTATTTTTTAGTCCAGCCTTATTCCGACGAGTTTTACGTTTTTTATTAATATATCCTAATTGGATATTCCTGTAGTTAGGATTGTTGTATGTGTATACTTTTCCTATAACTAGGGGGACATCACGGTTCCGCAATTGCATTTTTTAAGCAAATTTTTTATCTTTATTCCAGAATTTCATGTGTATATTCATTTATAGGAAGTGTTTCGAAGTGTGACTTATCGAGAAATGAATTGTGATTCGATTGGAATGTTCATCATATACCCCCAAATAGGTGGGGAT